GGGTTTTTCAAAAAAGAGGAGAAATAGGAAATTGATAACAACTTGCGGAAATGGAGTAAAACACGGGAAGTTCCATGGAGGGGATGCTCGGGTTTTTCAAAAATGCTTGAAGGAGGCTTGGGTGGTGGGGAGCAGTAGCTGACGTCATAAAATAGGGAAACATTCGACTGTTTTCGGGATTCCTTGTAGAAGTGTGATCGAAGTGAACCACGCTTAATCCGTACAGAACTGTTGTGAACTAGTACCAATCACTAGCGGATCTACGGGGAGGGGGGAGGGGGGCTTTCAGGCTGAAGCCCCTCCAAAATGGGAAAATATAACCACGTTTTATCGAAAACAATATTAAAAAATTATCACTCAAAGTATTATTGTGCGTGTAATTACATTTAAAAGGCCTTTAGGAATCACTTAAACACCATTTCATATAGGTAGTTAGTTTCTTTCTTTTTTTCCGAAGTAATTATCGTTATTTTTATGAAAAAAAACTTCCGGGCTGAAGCCCCCCAAAATTAAATCCTGGATCCGCTAGTGGTACCAATTGTATCATTTTGGAAATCCTATTGAATTGAAAGGAAATCCTAATTCTTCCGATTGTAATATCATGCAACTGATTAATACTGGAGGAAAATCAGTCCTCTTTGTGGGAACTAGATCTCCCGTTAAAGATGTAGGAAATAATGCAACAGGCAGTGTTTTTGGGAGCAGCGAATATTGTCAGGAAGTTCATAAATACCGAAGAATTTTGAAAATATACAAATGTAAAATTTGGCTGACCAAATAGGTCCCCAACTATTATGTACAATAGATACCATTGTATATCTTTGTGGGCGGGGTGGCCGAATGGGCTGACACATTCGTGCACAGCACCGCCTTTCCCCGCCAATCTGAGAAAATTGATAAAAAATAGTTTCAAGAAATAGTCTGCTAGAGTTAAAAGCCCCCAACCTTGTAATTATTTTATATCTGCTAAATTTGTGCTTATCATGTGGTTGATTGCAGAACAACACGTGTTTTGTATACACGTTAGCCCACTCGGCCACCCGCTCCTTATTTAAGAGTAATGCCAGAGTTAATTTATTTATTCCTAGTCAATATTTCCCAGCCTATCTTTTGACGAATTCTACTTACGTTACATGTTCCTCTCTCGGTCTGTCTCTCTCTCTCCAGCTCTACGTGCTACAATAATTTAGATTGGACTGTACTTCCTAATCTATACGGTAGTATTAATTTTCCAATTCATAAATTCAAATCCTTCGTGCCAAACGACCATTGAAAACTGTTAAAAAAAGTGGGTTTGGGTTGCAGATAGCGAGAAGGATGGAGTAATTGGTGATAAAAAGTTGAACGTCGGGAGAAAAACACTACGTATTTATCTAATCTACGACAATGGCCTGAGTTTTAGCAGCGTTTATACGTAAGATTGTTGCAGTATCGGGCAAGTTCCGATATTTGTTATCGATATCAATATCGGCCGATGGTATATTATTATGGAATAAAACAAGTATACGTTTTGAGTTATTCGCAAACAAAGTTTATTTTCTTTCATAACTTTTTTCCAGAAATTAAGGAGGGATGTGACTAATTTTCTCACCTTCAGAAAAAGAAGATCTTCAAAATGAGGGTTCAATCATTAAATTTTATAAAGAATTAATGGAGATATGGCGTATTAACCAAATACCACCTTTGAAATATAATATTACTCTGGTAGCTGAAGGCGAAAATCGTAGTTGATTTGAGAAACTTTTTTGACCGTAGATGCCGAAAGTACTCTTGATATAGACTTCAAATATGGGCGTCTGCCACCCTAGATAGGTTGCAATAAAATTGTATGGGTGATCGAAACCGCCATATTTTGTATTAAAAAAAAATTACTTATTTAAAGACGTATGGAACCTTTTCCGAGCAAAACTAGAACACCTGATAGCCTAAAAACCGACGACTGCCGACTGGAAGTGGTTGTATTTGTCCGGCTGACGCTCGTCAAAAATTGACTTATTTAAAGAGGGATGGAACCTTTCCTAAACAAAATTAGACCACCTCAAGGCCTAAAGAAAACCGACTTTTTTTTTCATCTAAAATTGACTTATTTGACTGTCTATAAATTTTTGGAATTGAAAATTTCAAACCAGGGGCAATAGGGAAACATGGAACAGACTACATCAAGTGCATTTGTATACGATATAAGATTTTTTTAAATTCTAGTTTGCTAGCATTGTTTTTATAAAAAGGAGAGAATAATAAACTATCTTGGTAGGGACGGAGGGAGAGATTCATACGCCATTGAGCTTGGTGGAATGGGCACCCCTGGATACGTTCATACCTTGGACAAGATCAAGGTTGATTGAAGATGGAAAAATGATAGACTTGGGATGATACTTGGGAAAAATGATAGACGGTAGAATATAACAAAAAGATAATCATGATCCTTTTCGGGGGGAACGCACTTTTCACAACCAGAAGACTAAAATTGAAATTAAAAAAGAAATTAACAAACATTTACATCAAATGTATACAAAAATTGTAAATGAAATTTTCAAAACTTAAAAATTTTAAGCTAATTTTCATGCTTATGTCTTCAATAACCTGCTATATAAGAGTTAGTGAAGTAAACATTTATTATTTTTAAGGATTAGGATACATCACGGGCGGATCTACGGGGGGGGGGCTTTCGGACTGAAGCCCTCCTTCCCCCCCCAAATGGTAAAATATAACCACGTTTTATCGATAAAAATATAAAAAAAGTATCTCTTAAAGTATTATTTTTCGTGTGATTAATATTAAAAGGGCTTTAGGAATCACTTAAACACCATTTCATACAGGTTGTTGGTTTCTTTCTTTTTTTCTAAAGCAATTATCGTTATTTTTATGAAAAAAAAAGCTTTCGGGCTGAAGCCCCCAAAATTAAATCCTGGATCCGCTAGTGGGATACATGGATGTAGGGATGGATATAAATAGAAGCCCTGTGTTAATTTATGAGATTGTCGCTGATCCGCCATGGTTTGACGCCATTTTGGGACAGTGAGCCTGTGGAAACATTGGTTTTTTAGTTATTGGGAAAACAAGGATATGCAATTTATAGTCATGTGGAGGGAGGGTGCACAGGATGAGGATCTATTCACAGACTACTCTCTCCCTCCAAACCTTTCCCCCCTTCCATTACCCCTCCTTCAAAATATTAAAATGAATAAAGAATTACTTCCCTGACTCAAATCAGATCGGTTATTGAAGAAAAAAGAAAATTGCATATGATCAAACATGCAAAATAAATTTAGTCAATTAATTATCAATTAAAAAATTGACCTTTCTTATAGTATTCTTTAAAAAACTCTACTTATTCCTGTTAAACCACTAGCGGATCCAGGATTTAATTTGGGGGAGGGCTTCAGCACGAAAGATTTTTTTTTCATAAATCTTCATAAAAATAATTTGAAAAAAAGAAAGAAAGAAATTAACTACCTATATGAAATGGTGTTTAAGTGGTTCCTGAAGTCCTATTAAATGTAATTAAACGAACAAGAATACTTTATGAGATAGTTAATATTTTTTTCTGTAAAACATGGGTGTATTTTACCATTTTGGGAGGAGCTTCAGCGGGAAAGCCCCTCCCCCTCTCCTGTAGATCTGCCTGTGTGTTAAACAGATCTGATACCTAGGACTTCAACTAGACCAATGTCAAACTTGGAATCATCATACTATACTAAAACTACAAAAAAACATTCTACAGTTCTGGTTACTTCAGCACTTTCTAGAAAAATGTTTTCATTCAAAGCTTCCAATTAATTTCAAAAGACTCATATACATGACTGTAAAGAGACCTATTTAGACTTACCCCTTCGAGGTTTCTAAAAAGAAAATAGTCTCAGAACCTTCTAATCTTGAACTGTTATTATTGTACTACCAATAGGGTACTAATTTTCTCTCTAAGTCTTTATATAATTATATTTCTTTGCACAGGAAGAGAGTAGAAGAAGCTTTCAGGCTGAAGCCCTCTGGCAAATGATAAGATTTATCCATGTCTTATGAAAAAAAATCTCTAAAAGTATTATTGTTCATGTGATACGACTTCAAGAATTTCTTAAACACATCTTCATATAGATAATTAGTTTCTTTCTTTTTATTCTAAATTAATAATCATTATTTTATGTATTAAAAAAAAAAAAAGCTTTCGGGCAGAAAATCTCCCCAAAATTAAATTCTTGATCTGCTACTGTTTCCTTGTTGATGTTTACTGGTTTTATTTTAATTTTATTACAGTTGTAAATTTCATGAAAAAAACAAAACAAACAATTTAATAAAAAAAATATTACTATAAATATTATATTAATTTTTTACTTTTTTTAAAAAATAGCCTGAAACAAAATATGAAAACTACTTGTGATAAATATTAATTGTTTATAATTCTTCAATTCATAATACTACCTATTTTTAATTGTATAATTTTCATTTATATTTTTTATTGAAGTGGAGTAATATAAAATCAAAAAAGCATTAGAGATATGAGAATGCTAAAAATGAGGTCATGAGGTACTTAAACAACATAAATAAAAATATATATAACAAAAAATAGTTTTTTTTTTGTGTATTTTGCTAATTTTCAATTATTTTGACATTAATATTAATATATGAGAATAATATTGTTTTTATTATTGTATTTCAAATTAATAAAAAACTTGACAACGGACTAAGTGATCAGTCAAGTCATTAAGTGAGAAAAAACTACACAACTATCAAATCTTAAAATGAAATATCTGATACATTTTCATTTCTTACTTTCATAACTTTTGGAGTTAGGAATTTTTTAATCGGAAATCTTGTATAAACAATTATATTATACATATTTATTTGAATTATACTATTTCAAAGAAGAATCAAGAATTTTAAAACGGTGTTTTTTCCTTTCATATACTTAAAATGGGCTAGTTCTATAGAAAACCTGTAGGAAGCACTAGCAGTATTAGGTGATGGTGGGGATAAAGATATTCCATTCTAGTGAAGTGTGAGGAATGGCTGAGGTGTCAAGTGGTTTTTGTTCTTTGTTCGATATGTATTCCTTTCGTTTAAAACACAGTTTACATAGTTTGTGATTGGTATGTGTCATTAGTGTGATTGTTGTTTTATTTTAAAACTATCTATATTCATGTCGTTCAAATGGAACACATGAAGAAGTGAAATGGGATAACCCACCAGTGCTGTGGCCTCTCAGTTATGGCGGCCAATAACAGAAAAGAAACGGTACAGGCAAAAACGATTTCATCTATATTTTCCAAGCTGCACGTAGCATTTTCTGACGCGATGGCTCCTCCTAAATTAACGACTGACAAAAAAACATTAGATAAAACGTGGAAACTGATGGACAAAGTTGTTAAATTGTGTCAGCATCCAAAGATGAACTTGAAAAATTCACCGCCTTTTATCTTAGATATTCTTCCCGATACCTATCAGAGGTTACGTTTAATTTATTCCAAGTATGAAGATAAAATGGTAACTCTCCATAACAATGAACATTTCAATGTTTTTATTGTGAACCTAATGAGGAAGTGTAAGCAGGCCATTAAACTCTTTAAGGAAGGAAAAGAAAAAATGTTCGATGAAAATTCTCACTATAGAAGGAACTTAACTAAATTAAGTTTAGTTTTTAGTCACATGCTAAGTGAATTGAAAGCTCTTTTTCCAAATGGAACCTTTGCTGGTGACCAATTCCGAATAACAAAAAGTGATGCAGCTGAGTTCTGGAAAAACAATTTTGGAAATAGGTGAGTCTTTTTTCCTCTGACACATTTTCTAGTTTTAGAGTATCAATCATGTTTTTATTTTGGAAAACTTATGTGATTATTTTATTTCAAATATTTTGAGTAATATTTATATTAGTTTCCCTTGTTTATTTTGTTTTAAAGTAATACATTTCATGATGTCATAAAAATTAAGTTATTATGTTTATAGTATTTTTTTAATAAACAATTTATTATAGATCTGTCAACCTATAAGTTGGTAGGATGCGCGATACTTGTCTTTTGTGTCATATTTTAGTTATTTGGGATAAAAGGTTTATTCTTTGATGGTCCTGAGATAATGGCTTTGTGACTCAGAGATAATTATGAAAATTAATCAGTCGACAATAGCTAGCTGCCCGTTTTGTCTTTTTCATAAAACTCTTATCACTAATATTACTTTTACTTATAGTCAGTCATCAGTCATTTAAATTTATTTCATTAGTCAGTATTATTTAATGCTCCTTTTAATTTTAATTTGTGTGTATACATTTGCAATTAGTTTTTGTTTTGTTTATTAATTTTGTAAAAAAGTAATTAAGCAACATTCTTTTTAAATGATCTGTATTTAAAAGTTTGCCATGGTATGACTAAATGAATTATCAGTCTGAGCTTCCTGGCGTGGTTTTCTAGCCCATTTTTGTTGAAAACTATGATTTAACCAGCAGAGTCTCGTTATTATTTAAACTTAGCACAGTTATCCATAGTTGTGCTACTTGGTTGGTTGATTTGTGCCACTAGATTAAAAGCTCACCTGATTTTATTAGTTAGCTGATACACTGATAATACAAAAGTTATCATGAAACATCTGCCAAAACCTCTAAGTAAGCGAGGACTAGCAATATTTCTCCTTCCAATTTGAACTAATATAAGGTCCCTTAACAAAAAACTAATCTTTGATATGAAAGTTGAATTTTAAATTTGTTAATCAACAATATTATCATTGTTAGCTGCACTATAACCACAGAATGCCTATAATGTCAACAATGGAGAAACAATTATTTTTATTTATTATATTATCGGTTTATTGGAAAAAAGTCGCTAAGTACATTTTTAATGAAGAAATACTTTTCTATAGGCTTTTGTGAATTTTAATCTTTTTTATCAATTAAAAACCATAGAAACTATATCAAAATGACCTTAATCGTTTTGGATATCAAAATTATAGTTACACTAAATGCACATTCTTGTCAGGTCAGAGAGACAATTCATACAAGTACTTTGTGATTTAGTTCTATAAAATGTTATTTAATGACTTCTTGCAACAACCCCACAATACATAATCTACATTATATATGGTAGTATAAATCCCTTTTTTTGGAGCTGAGGAGTGATGGATTTTGACATATGAGATATCAAAAGATAAGAAATTTTATGAAGGAGTGACTAATCCCAATTTCGGCCCTTTCTTTACCAATCTTTTTAATTGGTTCTTAAATAAAAAAATTAAATGAAAACAATTGTTTTCTACATAGTTTTTTTTATTTAAATGCCTAATAATAATTTTAATAACACTTATAAATTTTCTTAAAAATATTTGCCTTTAAATTAATACATATATATTTAATACAAATTGAAAAATAAAATAAGAATTTTAATTCAGTAAAAGTTTTCATACAGAGCTGTATTATACAGTAATTCCTTTATTTATTTTATATATATATTTGGAATGCAGGATTTTGTTTTTAAGTATCATTCAGGCATTGATTGGATCAACTTTAAAGTCTATTGGGAGGGTATTTTCCTCCATTCTTCTAACAATTTAGTTTTAATTATTGGTAAATGGTTGACTGTCGTGGGTAATGAAGAGAAGAATAGTTGGGGTGGTCAGTAAAAAAAAAATGAAAATATTTATTTTTACATATGCCGACGTTTCGACCTGAAGTTCAGGCCTTCATCAGGGCTGTCTCCAAAAGTGTTGCAGGGAGAATAATTGAACAATTCTCCCTGCAACACTTAGAGACAGCCCTGATGAAGGCCTGAACTTCAGGTTGAAACGTCGGTATATGTAAAAATATTATCATTTATTTTTGCCTTCTTTTTTGACTGACCACCCCAACTATTCTTCTCTTCAATTTAGTTTTAAGATATTTTACTGACGTATTTTGATTTCTAAGATGTGAATCGATATAAGCCCAAAAATGTTCGATATGATTCAAATCTGGATAGGAGTTTTTTTGTTCATATGGATAATTATATAGCAGCAATTCTCTGTGTGAAGAGTTTGGGCTTAAGCCAACAAACCTGGTAAAATTTAAATGTTTGTTCTATATCCACTATATCCACTAGCACTAACCCTAACAGTCTACGAAAATAATACCAGGAATAAATGAGAACAATTAGGAAAACAAGCTGAACCATATACGACTAGGAGAAAATTAATACATATAGATTTTATTAAAACATAAAATAATATAGATTTAAAACCATAACAAATAGAAAAAGACCTCTCATAAATTCATCGAATAAGAAAAGTGTTTTGCCTTTGCCTAATAACTTATGAAAAAGCCAATAAGTTTATGGAAGACATTGACTGGGAGGAGACAGAGGGGCCGCCCCAGAATTTCCTATCAGGAGTATATACAGCGGATTGGAGAGAATCAGGCAAGTCAGGCAATGATGTAATTTATTCAAATGAGAACAAATTTATTTATAGTGTGGAGGAAACTTGGAAATGACTTTGAGCTGTAAATTTGTGTCAACATCCAAAATTAGAGCTGGAAGTGTTCTTGTAAGACTACATATATCTGCTTTGGAGTCAGGACTTTGGTTTTTATCGATAGAGTAATGGAGAAGTATAAATTTAGAATAATTAAAAGGAAATTTAAGGGCTTTTAATAGCAAACACGGTTATTAAACACTAAAATTTTACTACGATTGTAAAGCTTAGCCGCTCTTTCTCACATGACTGCTACATAATTATCCAAATGAACATGGAACTCCTTTCCAGAGTCCAGATTTGAATCCCATCAAACATGTTTGGGCTTATCTATTCACAGCACGGAAGTCAAAATATAACACAAGTAAAATATCTTAAAGCTAAATTGTTGAAAATGAGGAAAATACCATCCCAATTGATTTCAATGTTGACCCAATCATTATCTAAATGATGCTAAAAAAATCTAGTGCGCGCATCACACGACTTTCACTTAACACCCTAGAAAAAGGGGAAGAGAAAGTAAAAATTGTAGACGCTATATTTATTTACATTTCACTGTGGGTATTTTTATTTTTTTAAATATCCTTATATAGACAAATTTTAATTTTATATCGCTGTATTCTATAGAATTAAACATTAAATAATACCAACAATAGCATTTATGGAAATCGCATATGTATATGTACATAATATTGTTGGTGTCCATATTATATTAAGCTCATGTTACTTATGTACTCTTTCGGGTACAGCTCGGACGCGCTCATATTCCTTTTGTTTTTCCATTACAACTGTTATCCGTTATCTCTTATATCTCCTTTAGTTAATTATCAAATTCTTTCCTATTTTATATTTAACTATTCTTCTTATCAAATATTAATGTGAAATGGTTAATTATTTCAAATAAAAAAAATTAAATTTACTTTAGAGGAAGCTAATATTGAAAATTAGCCATTAAAACCTGGATTTTGACGTAAATGTTGCTGGAACATCCAAGGATTGTAAAGTTATAATTTTCGGATTTGAGCTAGGCTGTTAACATACATACAAACACACACAGAATGTTTTGCGGGACTTAGTTATTTGGATCCAGGGGACCTTAAAACGTGTATTTCTGTTGAAACCTAAAATTAAAAAATTTTCACTTATCCTTACTATATTTTACATGTATAGGTAAATGAAAGTTAAAAGATAAACTGCTTTCAAAATATTAATTTAAAAATTTCGAGTAAAATAAATAAATTAATTACTGTATAATTCAGCTATGTACTTTTGCTGCATTAAAATTCTATTTTATACTTCAATTTGTATTATATATATACATTTATTGTTACGCAAATATTGCTGAGAAAATTGATAAGAGTGGAATCTTAAGTTAAAATAGAAAAAACCTATTGTAAAATATTGTATTATTAATATTTTTATTTCCTTTCATTCTGTGTATCAATTTGTCTAATGGTCTGAGGATAATGTAATATAAAAATATTTTTGTTTTTATTCCTATATAAATAATAGGATAATATAAAAAATTTTTTTTTTCAAAATCTAATTTAAAATTTCCATTTCTATTTTATCTGAAAGTATATATTTTAAAATATTCTATTTTTTTCTAAGAATAATAAGACTTTAGTAAAATTTCTTTCTCTAAAGTGTCTTTAATTTTGTTCATTTAAAATAATTAAGCATCTCACATTGTATCTAATAATACAAAATGGCTAAATATAAACTAAGAACAAATTTGATGATCATTTCAAGAGAAGAGACTAGGAAATTGGAAACTTGATGACTTGACTTCAGGCTGAAGCCCCTCCCAAAATGGTAAAATATAACCATGTTTTATAGAAAAAAATATAAAAAAATTATCTCTTAAAGTATAATTATTCGTGTAATTACATTCAAAAGGGCTTTAGGAATCACTTAAACACCAGTTCATATAGGTACTTAGTTTCTTTCCTATTTTCCAAAGTAATTATCGTTACTCTTATGAAAAAAAAGCTTTCAGATTTAAATTAAATCTTGGATCCGCTAGTGCCTCCATTTGAACTATTCATGTCAATACAATCTTTCCTATTATGGTTTATTGTTAATTAAGCTGTTCACATATTTCACTTACTCATAATTTTTAAAAAACATTTTCATTAGAAATTTTTAGGATCAACTGATATATGCATATCTATAACAGACATGGACAGTATTACAAATTAAGTGTTTTAAAAATAAAATAAAATACATTTTGTTTAATTTTGTGTTTTAAGAAGTAAAATATGAAATACATAAAATGTATTTTATTTTGTATTTTAAATAAAATACATTATCAAATTGAGAATGG